AGTAATAAATAGCTCATACAATGACATATATATTATTTAACTAAATAATAAATATGTAACTAAAAATCTTGTTAGCTTTTGGTTGAAAGCTAACAAGATAGTTACAATGATAGTTGCATTGTGGCTTATTATATATATATATATATCAGTAGTATTTGCAAAACAATTATGTACTAATAAAAAATAGATAGAACTCCCTTGGATACACTTCAAGAAACTATCACTTTAAAAAACCTCCAATACCGATGTTTAGAATTAAAATAAAAAAAATTGCAAACAAAGAAAAGGAAAAAACAAAGAGTTTATTTTATATGCACAAAAACACAGATATTTAGGAGTACTTCAAACAATGTTGAGCAATTTTTAATCAACAAGAGTTAGGCCTATATAAATTATTTACATTAATAGAGGTCAAACGTGCAAGGCACATTCCAAGAACTAGTAACTTATAAGAATCGATGATTTAATCTTTGTTTATATACACAAAATCATATGCTATAGTTGAATTTATAAGAACACACGAGTTAGATTGATCTTGTAAATTAAAAAAATCACAAAAATAGCATGTATATAACGAAAATCCTTTTTTTCTTTCTTTGTCAAACAAGTTTTATTTGTGTGCTTTTATATTAAGCACAATTACCTATGGATCAATGGAAACTATGGGGTACTTAATGTATGGACAAAATTTAATGTCACAAATAACATTAAATTTCCCTACCGGGAAAATTAGTTTGAAAATCGCGATATATACGACACTCGTTAATCCAATAACAAAGTATGCTCTTGTCGTCTCTCCAATTGCAACGGCTATTGAAGATAAATTACTTTTAAGAAAGAGTAAATTAATCGTAAGCTACTTCATCAGAACATTTTTGGTCATCAGCACTGTCATTGTGGCGTTAACCGTTCCATTCTTTGGATGTGTCATGACATTTACGGGCGCTCTTTTGGGTGTTACCGTGTCGATATTGTTACCATGCCTATGCTACCTCAAGATAAGAAGCCTTCATATTTGGAAGTTGTGTTTATTGGGATGATTTTGATTTTTGGTTCTTCAGTTGCCATATCTGGAACTTACACTTTTTTGAAAAACATAATTAGTCATGTCTAGAGGTGACAGATGAACGGTTTGGACATAATTTGGATGGGTCAGAATGGACTGAATCAATGGGTCGTTGCTCAATCATGTCCTTAAGTTTATTTGGACTATAATGAACTAAGGAATAAATAATGATTTGTAGCCCAAACCACTCAACTTGACCCCACCATTTTTTTTAATTGAAATATCAATAAATATTATAAACCAAATATTCCCAAACCAATCAAACATTGTGTGCACAAATTCAATAAGGGAATCAATTTGCATCTGCTAAGCAAGTTAAATTCAAAGCCTGGTGACTTCACCGTTATAGTGGATAAAGTTCAGTTACTTTATTGTGACAATCAATCGACTTTACTATCAACGAACATACAAAAGCAAGGAAGACAAAACAAATACTATAGGAAGCATTACAAAACATTCAAGAAAAAGCAAGCGCGCATACAATATCTCATCCGTTATAAAAAAGAACACAAGTACTGATAGCTAGCTACCACTGTTTAGACTTGATAAACAACTATCAATAAACAAAAATGGATATAGAGAAACCGCGTTGGAAGAAGGCATACATCATTTGAAGCCTTTACAGGTTGATATGATCTCTCTGCAAAGAACATATATTGTAAAGTTAAAAGTAATATTGGAAAAAAACATAGCATTTCTAATGTAGGAATGAAGTTAATGAATTCATAGAAGCATACCTCAATTATAGAAGTATACCTCAAGCTTGTCTTCTCCGGTCATTTCTTTAACATATTCCTTAATATTGAAGATCGACTCTTTAAGCTGAGGGCAGTCCCATACTTTGATAAGTTCTAATGACGCAATATCTCCAAAACTGTCTGGGATCTCCATAAGCTCATCCAATGTAGTTATATGTAGGTTCTCGAGCACGGGAAAGGAATTCTCTGCATCAACCTGCCATTCAGAAAATAACACACAATCCAATTTTAGAGATTTGAGATTCTGGAAGGTGACATCTTCCATGTTCCATTCTTTCCTTTCCTCGATGATTGTGAAATTTAGAATTAGTTCTTGAAGGTTGGGTAGTCTAGCAATTCTTGATAGTGTATCGGATGTCAGAGCGATCCCTTTCAACTTCAGTGTCTTCAAGCTCAAAGGGAAGCAGTATGTATTTTCTCTGAATGAATCACAAAAAGCAGATACATGAAGTTGTTCAAGTTCGTTAAGGACATCCAATCTTGGAAAACAAATCTTCTCTGCTGTACAATCTTCTGGTTGTGCGATACAGACTTCAAGGTTTTGAAGCTTAGGAAACCTTTTGAAAATAATATCCTCTGTGTCTTCTAAACCGGGAAGGTAGAGCAGAGATAATGTTCTCAAATTTTCTAACCTTGAGTCCTCGTCTAACACAGTTTGATCAAAAAGAGCACCGTACTTCATCCGCACATCTCGTAGCTTTGCTAGACTCCAAAACCAAGGCGATAGTACCATGCATGATTCCTCTATGTTATACACCGATAGAGTTTCTAGATTGCAGAGGTTTGAAAATGACGGAGGGAGAGCGTTAGCCTTCGTCTGAATGAGTAAGTACTTCAAATGAACGAGCATACCGATTTCATTCAGCAAAGAATCTGTCAATGTTATGTCCTTCAAATCCAAACTTTTGAGAAGCCTCAAGTGTTTTAGGTGACTCTTGTAGGAAAGACAACCCTTAAACCCATCATAGACCTTCAGAGAGAGGAGGTGTTTAACATAAGGATTCTTCTTTTCTGGATTAAACACCACAAAATTTTCATCCAAATGAAAGAGACGTTGATCATAACAAATGGTAATTCCTCGTGCCATCATACCAGAAGAAGACGAAGCGTTTGGACCTCCTATGAAGTCAAAAAACTTTTCCTTTCTAGATTTTATAGAACAAAAGTCATGCACAAGATCATGAATTTTGCAAATAGAATTATCGAAAGGTATTACCAAGCTACTGGAAATTAACTCATTCACTACTTCTTCTGCACTTTTCATCTCAATCTGCTCCACAAGTCCTTCACCAATCCAAAAATCTTTCAACTCAGAGATCCTTATATCTTCGTCCTTTGGATAACTTGCAAGGTAAACCAAACACGGCTTTACATGATCTGACAAC